TTGTTTTGGTGGGTTGTTTTCTTTTCTCCAGTTCACCTGGCTGTAGGGTAATGTGCATGGTAATCCTCTTTAGTCCAAAGAACTAAGCCTGGATTCCATGTTCCTGAGGGATATGAATTGGAACCAGATCAAAAAGACACTCTCTTCAAGAAACGGGTGGGTGCCAGCTGACCAGAGTATACAGCCCCACCTTCTGCAGCCAGAACCTTCCAGTTAGATGCTGCTGTAGAACACTCAAGAGATGAGGAAGAAATTTGTCTCAAGAGCGCACAGACACGAAGGTCTAGCATGATGGTTGTGTGGTCGGAGGGCAGCCAAAGTTCCCTGCTGGTTGTTGGCATTGCCACACTCCAGGTTGTGGTCGACCGGGGCCACCCACTCTGAGGAGGCAGGCCTGCTTCCCTGGGAGAACATAGATATTTGCGAGTCAGCAGTGGGCAGGGCTACTTACCCATGTGAATGAGCAGAACACTGGGGACCAGAGCCTGAACCTCACAGTCACCCAGCGTGAACACCAACCCAGGCTCCTCCTACACCCCTGTTTCCCTGTCATCCTTCAGCAACATTGTTGTTACAGTTGACAGAGACTACTCAGCTCCTAGCAGGGTGACATAAGACAGGCCCAGGAGCAGTCTTCTTCATCAGTCCCTTTCCTTCCCCAGGATATCCACCCACGCTTCCAGAGCTGGGCTGTCACAGGTCCGGGCTCTGTGGTGCCAGAACTCTTGGGCCAGGGCCCAGCTCCACCTCCCAACCTCCCTTCCCTGTGTTGCTGCTACCCTGGGTCTTCAGTGCCAGCTTGCTCAACCACTACCATCCTCTTCCTCCTTTAATTCACTGAGCAACCCCAGATCCTCAGGAGGTGAACCTAGCAATCGCCAGGCTCACAGAGCTGGGCCCGGGTTCCACGTTGCTAGGGGGGTGACATGAATTGGCCCCCTGGCTCAGGGACCCTTGCTGGGGTTCTATGTCACCCTGGCCACCTACAGCCTGCCTTGGGTACTTTTATTTTCCTAACATTGATTTTTTGTGGGTGAGACGCCTCCCCTATTCATTGCTTGTTGCTAGTTGCCTGTCTTCCCTGTTAGAATGTGAGTCAGAAGAGGGAAAAAATCCTTACCTGTTGCATTAGCTTTAGTCTCCCAAGCACATTGCTCAGTGTTTAGCAGGTATTAGGTTCTCAAGGCTTGTCCGGTGGTTGCAAAATAGGGGCTCTCAGTACTTCCTGAGTCTGTAAACCATGCTGTCTGAGTAGGCAAGGCCGAGCTACAGTATGCTTAGTCCATGGAACTACCTCATAGGTTAGGTTGTCCTGGGAATGTCAGGAGTGGGAGGCACTGAGAAACAGTCATGAGCTGTAACAACTGGTTGCTCCTTTGGGGACTGGTTCATGGACCACCGAGAGAGGCTGCCACCTTGTGGCTGGATGAAAAAGTACACCCAGTCTCCACAGGGTGATGCTCACCATTTAAAAAAGTTACATCTCGATGCCAGTGTCTCTGGCTCCAATAATCAAGACACTGGTGACCAGCTTTGGCCTCTCACTGGCCTTTGGAGTACGTGCTCATTGAACTGAAAGGTGGCCCAAAAGTTTTTCTCGTGACCAATACCATCTTTACCTGTGCACAGCCGTATCTATCCGCTCGTTTGGTAAATATCTACCAATCAGCTTCCAGGAGCAGGACACTGCGGGGAAACCTCTGATCCTCTCATAGGAAAGGCAGTGTTTGTGTATTCTAGGCTCTTTTTGAAGGGTCCGTGGGACTATGCTGACTTGGGGGACAATAGATGACCAAGTACTGACCGCCGTCATGCAAGGACATTCTGGTTGAAGGCCATGCAAGAAGAGGTGACGGCAATGTCAAGCGCTGTAAAGAAAACGCATGTGGGGAATAAAGGAAGGTCTGCAGAAGAAGGGACACTCAGACAAAAGCTTTGAAGGCAGGGGAAGCAGTCAGGAGAGCAGGCAGCAGCATATATAAAGGGTTGAATTTCTAAAAACTGAGAAAGGGAAGACGGCGTGGCTGGAGGAGGGCGTGGCAGAGGAGGGGACTAGATGAGGTCAGCCGGTCACTGAAACCAGATTCTGGCTAATCCCGAATGACTGCTCTAAGAGTTTGTCTCTATCCTATGTGCAGCAGGAAATCACGGGGACATTTAAGCAGCGGGAGGGTGGGATTGGGGAGTACAATCTGATCTTCCTTGAATGAACACTCTCCTGGCTGAGAATAGAGAACAACTCTGAAGCTGCTTCTCAGTGGAGGGAGGAGATACGGGGTCAGAAAGACTCCAGTCTGGTCCTCGGGTCCTCAAAGGACGCTTTGTTTCTCAGAGGCAGCCAGAGATGCTTGCATCAGATCCCAGCCTCACCAGCCTCCTGCACTGTGACCCCGGGCATCTTCTCTTAGCTCCTGTTTTCTCACTGGAGTGGAGAAACGAATGTGCCGCTGATCCGCTGGGATTGCTGTGACCTGGCTAGGCCTGCGAGCTGCAAGCCTGACCCACAGGGCAGTATAGTGGAAGCTGTGAGACAGAGGCCACTAGGAAGAGCACCAGCCTCGGGAGGGATTAATAGTGTGTTTCTCGAACCTGGCGAGTCCTCTCAAGAACAAGCTGTCATATACAAAAGAGCGAAGCTCAGCCCAAGTCTTTCTGGGTGCCCATCTTGCCAATAATCTCTTCTGGATTCCCACCCTTGTGATGACACCAAGGTCCTCACCAGAGGTCACAGGGAGCCAGCCACCTGACCTTGGTCCTTCACCTTCAAACCTGCGAACTAAACAAACAAACCTCACATCCAGCTTCTAACTGCCCGAGGCAAATAGACTAGTACAGGCATGTTAGAGACACGGATGACTACAGAGAGAGCATCTCTGTCCCCCTCTCCATCCAATCATGTCCCCGAAAGGGGCCCTGTTTCGTCCCGGAGATTGCTGATGAAGAGGCAGCAAAACACAGGCCTTCCTGATTTTCTGTGGACTAGGAACCAGGAGAAGTACAGCCTGCTAGCAAAGATGACATTAATATCACAAAAAGACCAGGAGCTCTTTCAAGCTAGATGAAGCACCCTCTCCCCCCACCAGTGTGTGGCCCTTCCTGAACGATCCTGCCGTGTGGAGCACAGCACTCCATTAGCTCCAGCAAGCGGTGGGGAGGTCTGTGCTCTGCAGTGCTTGAATTTGCAAAAGGCCTTCTGGGCCAGAAATTTGGAAAAGCACCTGCTAAGGCAGAAGTCTGGACTCTATCCCTGGTCTCTGCACACTAAAGAAAGATGGGAAAGCAGAGAGGTCCACCTAGAGACTGGTTTTAGAGCAACTAGAGACAGGTTTATACATCACAGAATCTCTACAAGTTTGTGCAGGGAGCTGGGAGTTTAAAACAAGTAAAGCCACTCTGGCTACGAGGAAGCTTGGAGTCTGATGAGAGAGCCGTGTGTGTGTGTGTGTGTGTGTGTGTGTGTGTGTGTGTGTATGTGTTTGTGTGTGTGTGTGTGTGTTTGTATGTGTTGGGTATGTGAACATGTGGGGATGTGCATATACCCATGCAGAGACTGTCTGCATCCCTCAGGTCCTATAAGCAGACATTTTACAAGCTCTGGGTTGTGCAAAACGATAATGATGCACATGATGATGGTGCACTCTCACATCAGCCTGTAGAGGGCGCCATGGAGACCGTGTGCCTGCCAATCCTTAAACCACAGAAGGCTGTGGAAATAGGGTAGGTGTGTGCCGTACAGCCATTCCCTGAAGAAGAATTTTTTCCCTTTTCTTTTAAGGCATATTTTATTTGCATGTGTGTGAATGCAGGTGCCCACAGAGGACAGAAGAGGGCATCAGAGCCCCCTGGAACTGGAATTACAGGTTATGAGCCTTCCCTGGTGGGTGCAGACAACAAGATCGAGTCTGCCTTCTGCAAGAGCTGTTAAATGCTGAGTTATCTCTCCAGCCCTCCTTTAAAAGAAAGAGAAAAGCATTATATTTTTTAAGAAGACCTTTAGGTGGCTCAACAGTGAAGGAAAGCTTTATTTCAAAATAAACCTGAGGAGGACCCCATAGAGAAGGTGACAGAGAGAATCTCTCTTATGGGCTGTGGATTTTATCAGAGCTGGGGAAGAGCCTGAGGTCCACTTTGACCTGGTAGTGGTGCTTAGGGTTAAACCAGACTGATGTGCAGGAATGGTGCGTAGACTGTTGGCTTGGGAAGCAGAAGCAATGTTCACACAGGAGGGAAGGGGGCTGGGATGACTTCCTTCCCAGTGGTGGTCTTCCCAGTCATTGGTTTGTTTCTGTGGATGTGAACACTCAGGCCGGTGTGTCACAAAGCATACATGGAGGGCGGAGGCCAGCTTATGTGGGTTCCAGGTCATCAGGCTTGACAGCAAGCATCTTTACCATCTGTGTCACCTCGCCAGCCCTTTTTTGATTGCTTTTATCTTTTCTTTGGTTTCTCTGTGTTGTGCTAATTGTTTACTATTGCTGTGATGAAACACAATGGGGAGGAATTTACTTTGTCTTACAGCTCCCAGTCATCTGTCACCCGGGGAAGCCAGGGCATATTGGAGAGAGAGCATATAGGAGCACCGCTCACTGGAACACGGCTCACTGGAGCGCCACTGGCTGCGCCCGACCTGTTCAGCTACCTCCCTTATACAACCAGGCTCACCTGCCTAGGGGTGGCACTACCCACAGTGAGCTGGACCCTCTTTATCAATTAGCTGTCAAGAAAATGCCCCACAGGCATGCCCTCTCTTCTTCTTCTTCTTCTTCTTCTTCTTCTTCTTCTTCTTCTTCTTCTTCTTCTTC